ATTAAATTATTATTATCTCCTTAAAGTTTAAATTAAAAACACCCTAAATTTATAACCAATTAATAATTAAGTCATTACTCATTAACATTTAATTATTTATTTACTAACTAATTAAAAAATTTACAAATTATGCCTAAAAAATTACACAAACCCCATATATAATTTTGATTAAATCGTTAAATAGATAAAAAATAAAAGGGGTAAATAAAATTGTTTGGGCCCATGGGACCTGTCGGTGCCTTGAAAGGGCCCAAACCCAGGCCTGGTTGGGTCTGGTCCCTGCCCACCTCTAGATTCTAATTCATTTTTTATTTATATATCAACTACTTGGATTAGACAACCAGACATTATTAAATAACCAGCAAAAGTGGTTATTTCCCAAGTTTGAATTCTATAAGCATTAAGAGAATATTGCTGAATTTGTTATACTTGATGGATATCTCAATTAAGAAGCATTATTAAATAACCGACAAAAACGGAAAAAAAGTCAAACACCACAAAAACCCGAACGAACCTGCGCATGGCTGCTGCCACAACCAATGACTGGCGGGGGATAAAAACAATTCTAATGAATTCCATCAACTGACGAGAGAGGAAGCTTAATCCCCAACATGCAGTTGCTGCTCTTTGTGAAAAAAAACAGGGAATTTTTTTTTTAGTTTACGTTAGACCAATATTGCCAATCCGAAGCTCGTAGCCCAAATTAAAACATCTATTGGTCTCCTCTTTGTCTAGAGTGGAAAAGAATTGCACGTCTTTCCATTATTCATTTTGAAGATTAATTAAAACTAATCGTAATATGCTAGTTAAATTCCTCTGTAATATTTCAACCTAAATTATGAGATCTCTGTTAAAGAAATTCTCTGCCAATTTGTTGGATATGGTGTATTATTCTCCGCCAATATCTAATTGGTTTAGAATTAGTTTATTCTAGAATTATGATATTAATAAAATTCTTTGTTTGAATAAGGACGTAATTCTTTAATTAAAACGAATTAGGGTAAATTATTGTGTTTGTCTTTATTTTATACTTTAATTATGGTGTGTTTGATTTTCAGTTTCAACATATTTGAGTATTTGATCTTTAGTAAATTCGATATTGGATCAAGAGCAATTTGGTCGGTTCTTTTCTTCTTGTATTAAAACTAGAAACTACATTCAGTGGTGGATGATCACAATCATTTTCTTTGCTACCGTTGATAATCAGAATGTAATAAATATCCTGTAAATATATGAATTTTATACAATATGATTGGTAGCAGATGTAACCGAAACAAATTCGACCTGCTTCTTGCTGACTTTATAAAGCATTTCCAACTTCCAAGACTCAACTAACATGTGATGACAGTTAAAGCATGCAGCAGTAAGCACTCCTCCATTACCAAAACTAGGCAATTCTCCCCCCACCAAAGATAAACCATGTTTAACTTCTGCTATTCATCACCATTAGAATTTAGATGCTTCCACCATCACATGACATGGTTGCTCATTATCATTTCTTGTGGATCTCGATTCAATGCAGCAAATCATGTGATTCCTCAAACTGACATATGCAAAAAACCAGAAATATCTTCTCTAAAACTGGAAACCCCTTTCGAATGCTTATAGTGTAGTTGATACGTACCGTTTCTTGGGGCAATTTAGCTCTTTAATTTAAGCTAGTGCGATTAGTCGACTGTGTTTCCGTATCTTCATGAGATATTAAGCATATATTTAAAGGGTGCTTAAATACACAGGAGAGATCTTGGATATCATAGAAAATGGTTCAGTTTCTCTTTCAGCTAAAAGCTTATTTGTCTTTTGTTATGTCTAATTATCTTTAGTGTATGCTTAAAGCTGCAAAAGAATCCACTTTTGGTTAAATAATATTTTGGAATAACATCGGCTTCCATTATTATACAGAAGCACGATTACATTAGATCTAATCTATTGGATTACACCTAAAGTTTGTCAATTATTTTTAATATTAAAATCTGTGATAATCTAGAGCATGGTTGTTAGTATCCTACGATACCCGATACGTATCATACGATACGATTCGATATAGGTCGCCAACGATACGTATCAGAGAGTGTATCCTAAACCATTCGATACGTTGATATGTATCCTACGATACGATACGTATCCTTAAAAATATCGATATAAATCGATACGACTTTATTAATTTGGGCCAAATGCCCCAAAAAAAATTCGCGTCGAAACCGGGTCACCCAACCTGATTCACCAAAACTTGTCCAAATTTACCTATTTTGCATGGAGAAAGTGAAAATAAATATGTATTGCCCATTTTATATGATAATAATAATATAAGTGGAGATATAGATATTGACATTGATCTTAGAATTTTGTAATTAATTTTGATTATGTAATACCGTAATTTAAAGTCAATAATACTACAAAATTCTTTAATTAATCTTGGGGGTTATATTAATTTTTAGAAAATTTTGATTATTTTATTAATTTTTTTGAAAAAGACGTATCTTACGATACGATACGATATGCGATACACGATTCAAAAAATTAGGTTTTTGATACACGATATGATACACGATTTGATAACCATGATCTAGAGGACTAATCTAAACCCTCAACTTTACACTGTTTTTAACCTTGATTAAAAAAACAACGTTAAAACCAATCAGAGCCATTTCTTTTCTCCAAGTTACGTGGAAGGGGAACAAGTCAAAAAGAGAAGATGAATGAATTAATGGTGAAGGAGAGAGCTTTCACCATACAATATTAATATGTATGCGTAACCCACAAAAAAGTGAACCATGGTTAGGTATTGTTGATACAGAAATCTGCATCAATCAGAGAATTCTGATTGACTCTATCAGACCCAGAATAGATATACACGTGATTACGGATAACCAGCAGCAAATGAATAATAAATACAATAAAGTAAATGGCGGAGAGATTTTTAAAGTGATTCGACACGTTAAAACTTGAGTCTACATCCACTGTTATCTAATTGTTTTTGAGAGCTTACAAAGAACAGCATAATTTTTAAGAAAATTTGTTTAAAACAATTGCCCAACCCCTCTTGAAAACAAGTTATGATGGGTTTATATAGAACCCATTTATATGATAGAGTTGAAATAAGATTCAAATACGTAAGATTAAGAAGTTGCATGATCTTCAACTACCTTAGTTGGAATCTAAGTCAATCTGAATATCTTCCTTCCAAATTGAGTCAATCTAAATATCTTCTCCCCTAATAGGTAATTATCCTATCCGGATTGACCGTACAACAGGTATACCTATATATAAATGAAATGGCTTTCTCGATCACTGTTCCCCTTGATACTGACGATATCATACACTGCCGTCAAACAATGAAGCATCCATTAACCTAAAATAAAAAAAAATAAAAAAAACTTAGCTTGATGCAAGTGGTATATTAATTAATATGTGGGTTTCAGGAGAAGAATTCACCTGATTAATAGATAACAATATGTTAGAGGAAAAAAATGTAAAATTCTGCTTAGATTTTGAAGTGACTTACTTGTTTTTTTTGTTTGTTTTTTTTTTTAACCAGGATGGCCACATATACTTATCAATAAGTTTGGCCAGAATAAAGTGCATCTAAAAAAATTGATTCCATCTCTGTTGAAAGAGATCGCACCACCAACATCAGGAAACCCCGGTGGATAAGTTTTTATGAACTAACTTTGATTTGTATATAATCAACTTGACTTCGTTCAGCAGCCTCAACTTTGATTGGTTATAAAAAGTATAACTTGTGTTCAAAACAATTGAGTTTTGAATATTCCATTCCAGTCTACCGTTTCTTCCTTTGATGGACCATTTGCCCACTAAATTTCTTGGTCTAATTATGAACTTGTTACTTGGAATCTTTTAATTTCACACCATTTTTCGATAACCTTATCTGACAAGTATTTGGTTGGTAAGAATATAAATTTAATTCAAATATTTACCCTCCAAATTTGTAACCTAACCTATGTTGGTTATATTTAGTATGATGATGATAAATTAGGTGATTTCATTGTAGAGTAAATGACTTTTTCCTATCCAAGGTTTGCCTTAATGACACTTTTCCACCCAAAGAGTTCTAAAATATCACTTTCCTATTCAAAATTTATATTATATTAATACCCAAAATACACGTCACTTTTTCAATCGGCGTTCGGCGAGTTATCAGGAGTCAGGGTAGAGTGGTTTTGTAGAGTGGAGACCAGTGGATCGAATGGTGGTGACCGATTGAATATTTGCCATCAAAATTAGTCAAAAATCAATTAAGAATAGGAAACTCTAGCTTTACGATGACTCACAATCAACGAGAAATTAAATATCGAAGTGAGAGATGTTTTATAAAGATGAGACTGAAGATTCAAATGGTGGTAACGGAGAGAATTTTTATCGTCATAATCGGTTTTGGATAGTAATATAATATAAACTTTGAATGGAAAAATGGTATTTTAAAATTTGTTCAGACCTTGAGTGGGAAAAGTTGTTTACGTCTTGATTATACTTGGCTTCCACAAGGCTAAATAAGTAGGTGACCATAATTAAAACCTTTATTAACAAGACATCCAGCTTTGTCATGTGCTCCTGGCAATGTTGATGCCATGAAATAATACGACAACAAAACCAAAACCCAGAAGAATCGATTTTCGTATTGGAAATCTGGCATTTGCTTGGATTGGCCCAGCCTGAATTACAACTAAATATCTCTTATCATCTTTTATTTTGTCGTATAACGCGTTTAGCCATCCCTCCTCTCTCTACTGTAAAGCAAATATTCCTGGTGGATGTGGGTCCCACTTCTCATTGTTCTTAATTTGCTTCACTACCCTTCGGACCCCTCTAGTCTAACAAGCCGCAAAATTTGATTCGCTGTTCCTCCCCAATTACCCACTCATAAACATACCCTTTTATGTCCGATCTTAACCTCGGACAAATCGTACATACCCCTCCACGTGGCATGATTCTATTGCTTACTTCTTTTTCTCAAGTTCCTATATAACTCTTCTCTCGCCCTTCACTCTCTTCGAATTTTGATCTCTTAGACGCCTTTTATTTTCGCTCTCTCAAACAGATAAACATGAGGGTTCGGTCATGGCTAGCGATAAGCACCACCACCGCAAACGACTCTACCGCCCCATTTCCGAAGAGTCAAAAACATCTCGTCCCAGACACCAGCAGCTCCTCCGATATTACCGGAAGTTACACGTCGATAAGCGACTCTAGCTACAGTAGCCTACAAAGCAACCTCTCCCTTCAAACGCTGCCCTCTATTCCTTCCCTCCAAAAAATCTCCCCAGAAGATACTGCAAACTTCTCAGCTTCTCACGTTTGCATAACCTCACTTAAGCCAAGGCCCAAGCTCCCTATCGGCTGCATCGCTGTCCACCAAAACCTACTCTACGCCGCCTCCGCTCATGAAATCAACGTCTACGATCGTACCACGTGGACCGTTCTCGATACATTTAACAATGACGATTCCTCCTCTGGCTCCGTCAAGTCTATTACTTTCTGCAATGGGAAAATCTTCACTGCTCACCAGGACTGCAAGATCCGAGTGTGGCAGTTAACTCCGAGCAAACGTCACAATCTCAAAACTACTCTCCCTACTGTTAACGACCGTTTGCGCCGTTGTATACTTCCGAAGAACTACGTCAACGTCCGCCGTCACAGGAAGAAGCTCTGGATTGAACATGCTGACGCCGTAACCGGTCTCACCGTTAATAACGGTTTGATCTTTTCGGTTTCTTGGGACAAGAGTTTGAAAATATGGCAGGCCTCTGATCTCCGTTGTTCAGAGTCTGTTAAAGCGCACGAGGACGCCATCAACGCCGTGGCGGTTTCCGCTGACGGAGCCGTTTACACGGGATCCGCTGACAAGCGGATTCGGGTTTGGGCCAAAGCTTTTAACGAAAAGCGGTACGGGTTGATGGCAACTCTAGAGAAGCACAAATCTGCCGTGAACGCTCTGGCCTTGAGCGACGACGGATCAGTGTTGTTCTCCGGAGCTTGTGACCGTTCGATCTTGGTGTGGGAGAAAGAGGACAGTGCGAATCACATGGTAGTGACGGGAGCTTTACGAGGTCATAATAAAGCGATTTTGTGTTTGATCAACGTCTCTGACTTGCTAATGAGTGGTTCAGCTGATCAGACAGTCAGGATTTGGCAGCGAGGTAACGACGGCAGGTACGGCTGTCTGGCGATTTTGGAAGGTCACATGAAGCCAGTGAAGACGTTGGCGGCAGTTAGAGAAGATGACCAGAACGGTACCGTTTCGGTATTTAGTGGCAGTCTGGATGGTGAGATCAAGGTGTGGCAGGTGTCGATGTCGAAACCCAGCAGCCCGTTGGATTTGCAAAAATGGAAATTATAATATAAGAACAATAATATGAAAATATAGTATTGAGTTACAGGTTTTTCTCCTTTACATTTTTTGATTTGATTGGGAGATTTTACCAACCATGTATTTTTAATTTGTTAATTCGTGGTTTGTTTAGTGAAAATTATGTTTGAAGTAACGTGATGGCTAATGTTTATGGTTGATTCTTTGTACATTATTTAGTTTGTTCACATAACTTTAGAGTAATTCAATGTTAAAAAATTGTATTATACATTAAAGTTATCGTGGAATAGCATATACTTAATTTATGTCACCTCTTTGTTACCGTAATAAGGAAATTAAGCAGGCCAAGGCTAGGATGTGACATATGTAGTTGTCTTAATTGATAATTTGTATTTATCATTATGACAATGTGCCGTCCATTCACACTTTTGAATCCCAAAGAACCAACGAGTTGGTGATTGACTAATACAATTGGAGACCAAAATTTTGATATCTACCGAATTCGCCAAATAACCGAAGGGATAAATCAATGTCACTTTATCAACTTATATAGCTGTCTATTACTCACCATTAATTATAAGCATAGTGCATGGTTTTAACTTTTAAGATCCAATAAAAATTAAGAATCTATAGATAAGTTTGTTTATGATATACTTTAATTTGATTTTAGTACATATTTTCAGGAAGGAACTTAAAGGGACCTTGAACTCGGATCCGTTCTAGGGGCTAACCATGGATTCCCAGATCCACACATTTCAAAGTACTAGGCGCCCTTAATTAATATTTGATTAAGAGAGATAATTTATGATTAAGCAGGTCAACAAAAAAGTTTAAATTGTTTGAATTCGGCAAGTTGCATAATTCACATACTAGTTTATTAGTATTAAACTACTAAAAATAAGCACATTGTAGATGAAAAAAATCTACCGTCATGCAAATAGGGTGTGATCCCGTGAGGTTGAGGTCACTGATAATCCGTTAGACCTGCACACATGAAAGGGCAAGCGTGAAGCTTCCGGAAAACACCGAGGTGGTGTTTGCCGTAGGCACTCCGACGCTCAAGTCAGCAAGGTTGAAAGAGATTTAATAAGAATTAAGGAGAAGAAGAATTACCAAGAGTCTTGTCGGAGGCTAGGACTACGGCGGAGGCGTCGGGTTCTTGGGAGCAAGAACTTAGGAGCAAATAGATGGTTTTGA